GGAGGAGGAGGAGGAGGAGGCAAGGCAGCACTCTGGCAGGCGGCCAAGAGAGCCACACAGATTATTGCATACGCGCAGCACCGCCGGGGCCGGCGGCCTTAACCCTTTGGGGGCCGCCTGGGGCCGAGTCGCCTTCCTCCCCACCTCTGGGCTCCCCCCGCCCGGCCGCTCCTCGCCCCGACGCCCGCTGCGCCGATAGCCGCACCGGCGGGCACCGGGAGCGGCGCGCTGCCGAGCGGGGAGAGGAGAGCGGGGCGGCCGTGCGGGATGCGGGAGCGCCGGCCGAGGCCGGGCTGTCGCTAAGGGAGGAAATAAACGCGCGCTAGGGAGCCGGGGACGGCTCGGAGGCAGCGCCGTGAGAGTCAGGGGAGGGTGATTTTATTTAAGATGCCATATTGCGTTTTGCCGTGGAGAGCTGTGAAGCTTTGTACAACAGGAGCCCGCATCCCACTCCCGTTTTCTGAATTAGTTTTATTTTTCCGGATCCTTGGCGTATGCTCGAGTCGCTTTGTAGAGAGTACCTTCCACTTCATTCAGACCAAAGAGGCTCTGACTCATTCCGTCGCCGCACTACGAGGCAGGCAGGGCTGCACCACGCATGTTTGGGTACTCGCTCCCGCTGCGCTCCTCGCACACGCTCCGGCAGGATCCTCGCTCGTCTCTCCCGGCTGCGCGCAGACCACTGCCCGCCTCTCCCAGAATAAATGAATGGGAGGAACACAGCCACAGGACAGCGTCTGCTCTGCTTGCTGGCAACCCGACTGCTGCACAGGGAACGGCTCGCTCTGCTTCGGCATCAGGGTCACCGCACAAAATGCTGCATAAGCCCCCAACCCTGGGTCTCACCCCAGAAGGGTTCTGAGAGCACCCTGCGTGCTCCCTATGCTGTGGCTGTCCAGAGCAGGCTGTTGGCTGAGCATCTTTCAATCCGCCCCCAGTACAGCTGTGAGCTCCAAGCAGATGTCTCTAGTGCCGATGTGTACATGTGTGTCCACAGGTAGTAACACCGTGTTTTAGCATTGGAACTAGAATTAGCATGGATGCGAAAGACCCTAGGGCTCTGTCAGTATGCAGCTCAGCAAAGCAGTCCCTTCTATGAATGACTGTACTCATCCTCCGTACTTCCTTGAGAATGTGCTAATCTGCACAGCTCTTGACTGAGAGCTGGTGCTGTCATATAGACCGGCTTTATGAGCATAAGGATATTTTAACAATGCAACTTCTACCTCTCCAGATCAGGTTCACTACATAACCCAAAGCGACTGCCTGTTTCAGAGCACTCTGGGGACAGCAGCAGGCCCGGATGTCTGGACAAATGTGCCACTCAGCAACGAGATGGTGCATCTATGGCCATGTGGCAGACAGCAAAAATATCCTCACCCAGCTAATGCAAGGTTCATTGATTTAATGAAAGGAACCATGGGAGAGAGGCAGAGGCTGGAGATAGCTGGAAATCAAGCGAAGGCCCCACAGAAGCTGCTACCCCATCCTTTGCATTCTGTTCTGCAGACGCAGCATTCTTCCTCCTGCCACCTTCTTTATTCCAGTTGTACTGCTGTTACCTCAGGAGAAAGGAATCTTTCCCTCTCAAACCTCCACCTTGCCAAGAGGTGCGGCACACGCTGTGGAAGAGAAGCCACATTCATGCTGAAGCAAGTTTTGGGCAACTTTCCCTTCTGCGGCAGGCTCATGTAAGAGGCTTGTGTTCCTCCAGCCTGTGGCCATGGTGTTTGCCGCAGGACCCACACTTTTTGCCATGAACCAGCCTCTGGCTTTTAAATCTTTGTCCATGTTTCTGCTTCAAAGTTGGAAGAGCATGTCAGTTGTAAACCAAAGCAGTATTTTTTCTCAGCAAGGCAGCCTCTGCCCATGTCCTGGGGAAGTGCCATAACTGCCGGCAACCACATTGGGTTCACAAACTCACCTTCATTTTGACAGTGGTTACATAACAGAGATAAGGGGACAGTGCCTTTGCTGGCATTGCCCGGTGCACAGGATGCGCTTCCACATCACAAGATGCCATTATGCCTCTGCAGTATCTTTTGAGGGCCTGTGGCAGGGCTCAAAGCATTCCCCCAACAGCGAGCATGGTGGGGGCACCAAGGGTGGGAAGCAGCACCTGAGCAAGATCTCATGTGCTGCCATGGCCAGGACAAAGGTCCCTCACTGTCTATCAAGGCACTGCAGTCTATTGACCCAGACGCGCAGAACTATGCCAGAGGTGAAAGTCATTTACTTCAGAAAATAGACACAGTTGCAGACCAGGACAGTTCTGACATCAAGAACGGAGACAGGCACTGTGGCAGTGCAGTACGTGCAGATCAGGGCTCCAACATCACAGTGTGAGTCGGACACAGGAACCCATTCGAGCAGTGCCTCCTGCCAGTAACATGCTGAAACTGGTCAGACTGCCACTTGAACACGTTCTTGACCAAAAGACAGTCATCAGTTTGACGTGCAGGAGGCACGTTGTCTAGGAGAAACTGTCTTTCAGTGCACTGATGTCGTGCCATCAACGCGCATGCTTTATGTAATTAGTACCTGTAAAAAATTGGAAAATAAGAGGTAACATAAGTTGGAATATTTTCAACATCCACATTCAGGGAAATCCAGTGATTGACGACACACTGCATGCGAACAGTGATTTTACAATTATCAATCATTACAGTCTAGGACTTCAATTTGTCATAAAACGACATTGTTGGTCTCATTACAGCCTCTAGTGGACAGTAGTAATCCACCTCACAGACCTGTCATACAGTCTGCTCAGATGACAAGTGTTATCCCATGGCAAGAAGGATTTCCCAATATAGTCAAAAGTTTGCTGGCATTGCTCTGAAGGTGCCTTGCTTTATGCTTCAGGTATCAGTGCTGGCTCATAAATAAACAGAGAACTTCGCTCTTGATTTCAATCTCAGACAGCTTTCATAAAAAAACTAAATTAATCTCAAATGTTTTTATAACAGAAAATATTGGTTGTCATGTTTTTGGCTTAAGTATGATGTTTTTATTCCAACTCAGGATCTGCAGACTGTCCAATCCACCTCCTCTCTATTTATAGCCTGCTTGCATTCAGATAATTTTTGCAAATGCAGTTATTTTCATTGTTATTTCAGACATAGGCAGCTGATTTAAGGTATTTTAACAGCTTTAACGAATGAGAAACTGTAATTTGGATTACAGCTGGCTAATTAAGGTATGCTTTCCTCTGGGAAGTTAAACATGTACACGACCCGAACAATAACATATTTAGAATGTATTCTTTAACTTGAAGTGCCTCTTGTGTGAGCACAATAACGCATGACTAACATCTTCATTTTTCGTGTATTCGCCTAGAAATGAGTGCATCCCTGTCAGAACAGGGAGGTTGATGATGGTCTCCAGAACTCTTAGCTGGGATTGTTTTCAGATGGAAGGAAATGGGAGTGGAGAACCAATGCTGTCTCTTTAAAGCCACAATTATCTCAGACAAATTAACAGTTAGTGAAGCCAGAGCCAAGTATTCATGAAGACTAAGCAAGTATGTAGTACTACACTTCCACACAAAGAGAAAACTCTATGGTCTAAAATGCTGAAGTCCTTTGCAAGTGAATTCAAAGGAAAGGCTGTCATTGATTTCTTTACTGCACCCGTGTATGGGCTGCAGGGTCACTGAACAAAACATTTTTGTCATATCTTATCAGATAGATAATGCAATATCAAGGTAAAAAATGCATACCTCATCATTGCCTTGTTTTTTTATAAAGAAGCAGTCAAGTTCTCCTTTAAAACAACAACAGCTTCAATGGCTTTAAAATGAAAATACCTCATTCAATGAAGACGTGACACAAGATGCTTTTTTGTTTGGTTTTGTTTTTTAAATAGAGAAAGCAATTCATCAAGGTAACAAAGCCTGATGACTCCTCTGAAGTCTTAAAATTGAGACAGATTTCATCTCCTGAATATGTTGTCAGTTAGTTGTATGTCATTAAGGCACAAGTAAAAGCAGCTAAGCTACCAGTAGTGGCTCTGGGATGGACCACAGCCAAACCTAGCCCTAAATGCTGTTCCAGCAGTGACCAGTGGAAAATAAAAATGCTAAGTGCTTCTCTAGAAGCACTCAATTGGTCTAGGCACACTCGAGTAATCACAGGATCACAGAATCACAGGGTTGGAAGGGACCTCAAGGATCATGAATCTCCAACCCCCTGCCACATGCAGGGCCACCAACCTCCCCATTTAATACCAGACCAGACTGCACAGGACCCATCCAACCCGGCCTTCATCCTCCGGGACAGAGCATCCACAACCTCTCTGTTCCAGCACCTCACCACTCTCTCTGTAAAGAATTCCCCCCTGACATCCAACCTAAATCTCTCCTCCCTCAACTTAAAACCACTTCCCCTTGTCCTGTGGCTGTCAATCCTTTCAAAGACTTGATTCCCCTCCCGTTTTTAGGCTCCCTTTAGGTACTGAAATGAGGCCTTCTTTTCTCCAGGCTGAACAAGCCCAGCTCCCTCAGCCTGTCCTCATAGGGGAGGTGCTCCAGTCCCCAGTAATAACCTCAATAGGTTGTTAGGTGCTTTGCAGCCTACAGAGTCCAGATGTCAGAGGTCTCTGTCCACATCGTGGTCTCCATAAAACTCTTCTGACACTGCCCTTAACCCTGCAGGTGGTGTGAGCAGAACCTCAGCTGCTGTCTCCTTCCTAGAAGTGATCTCTTCATATTGGGGTCAAAGTCCACCAGCAGGGAACAGAGCGAAGGCTCCATCGCATGGAAAATTCTTGGCTTCCAGGACCGTCAAGGCAGCGCTGTTAATGAGGATTAACATTCAACCAAAAGGAAGGCAAAGTTGTAAGGACAATTCACTGGCCACTTTCTCGGAGAGGGCTCTCTGCTTCTGGCAGGGAGCAGTCAGAATCCACTTGAGTTGTCCCTTTAAACCATACCTGGTACAGAGACTTATCTGGGAGTTCCTTTGCCAGTTTTTTTTCCCCTCTGTTATGGGCATTATGGTCTAGATAGATTAGATTAGCATCTATCATGTAAACACTTTGGATTGGGAAATAACTCTTGTCCTTTCTTAAAGTGTTCTTCCTCGATATAAGGCAGTGAGGTTTCTAAAGCCTGTTACAGTCTCACTCATCAATACTATTCATGTTTTGGTAAGTGGTGCAAGTGTTCATGGGAGGAGAAGGGGCTTCAATGGGCTATTTACCTGTTTGAACAGGCCCAGGAATTGAAAGGACAGATTTTTGACAACTCAGTACTTCAACAGCCACAAGTGAGCTTTCCTGGTCTATTGAAGAAATCCATCCTACCTGGATCAGCAACCTAACAGACTTGCAGAAGCAATATGCTTAATCCTGCTGCCAAGGCTTCACACTCTGTCCACATGCTAAAAATCTTTATGACATCTTTTGTTGAGAAAAGTACACCATAAGAATAGCAGCTATTTTCTCCCCACATTGTCTCTACCCCTCCACAAAGTAGGACACACGAGGGCCTTGGTCCCAAAGCTTTCATGCATATTCAGAACTGAAGTTTACAAAATTCAGACAACACTGGCAGATCTGGGCTCCTGCCTTGGTTTCAAGAAAAAGTTTAAGTTGCTTTATGTCCAAGACTAGAGTTACTTTGCACCTATCTATTCACAGTAATGTGAGAGGAAAGTCAGTAACTAACATCAGTAACCTAAAGCACAGTCAACAATAGCCCTGAAATATACGTATCTTGTACCCAGAAGAGAATGTGTTATATTTTGTTGTTGTTGTTTTCAAAAGGTATTGTGTGCCACAAATCTGCAGCCACTTTAAGCACATTAATGAAGACCTAGTGCATAAACATCAAACAAAAATTTAAGCAGGGTGAATAAGGGATGAAGCAATTGCAGTACCCTCTAAGACTTAATCCATAGTCACTATCAATAGAAAAGTTTTCAGGCAGAGAAGGACTGCAGACATGGCAGAACAGTCAATTGCTTGCAGGGTAGGAAGTCCTCAGCCTGCAAGCCTTGGCCTAACAAGGTAGGTAAGCACAGTAAACATTTACCTTGTATCCAATTACAAGTTAGTTGAAGTGGTGTTTTTCTAGTTTCTGCTGCTGGGTGGCAGGAACTAAGGAGCTCCCAAACTCTGAAATTTAAAAATATGTCCTGAGAAAATTAACAAGTCATCAGTGGTTAAATTAGAACTATTTCAGCATATGTAGATTTGTTCAAAACTAAACCTGCATTGCTTTGACTTCTTACTATATGAAGGCAGCACCTCAGAGATCTTCCTGGTTCTGGGTCTCATGTTCTTTCTTACCCTTCAGCAGAGGCCTTCCTATAATAATTGTTTCCATCTTGGATAAAGTGATTTATCATGTCTCTCTCTTTCTCTGCCTACTTATTCCAATGGAGAGTTTCCATTTCCACCTGTCTTCGTAACTTGCATCTGCTCTCATGTTGTCCTCAGATGATATCACTTATTTATTTGTATATAACATAACGATAGACACTATTCAAAGCTCTGGAGTTCTATTAGCACATAGCAATTACAAGAAAAAAACACAGCAGTGCAAAAACAGGAATTTTGCTAGGCATCCCAGTACATCAGGAACATCTGCTCAAAGCACACCTTCAGCCTTCTCCCAGCATACGTGTCTTTTGCCATGAGGCTTCTCCCATAATAATAAAACCCAAGCCCTTGTGTTTGTCCTTCCTACCATCGGGATTGTTCTGCCCTGGGGTCAAGAATAGCCAAAAGAGTGGGCTGAGCACCTGGGGACAGGGCCATCTGTATAATCAATGAATATTAAGATGCTATAGTTACAAAACAAACAATAGAGCTTGGCAAAGCACATTATGATAACAAAAAGAAAATAGATAGAAGGTTTACCTGTATCCTGGGCTCACCCACAAAACTCCAGCAGAGCAGATCTCCAGCAGAGATCCTTCCCCACTGGCAGCCAGCTCTTAAATAGATCTAGGAGAGGTGCAGCCAGGCTCCCCCCCTTCCAGCACACAGCTGAATTGCCTTCACCTGTGCTCCTCTGGCTGACTCAGTGCTCGCCTCAGGTGGTCAATCAGAGGTTCAGGCCGTGACTCAGCAGTTCCCATACATCTCATCACAAGCCATTCCCATGCAAGAGATACTAGTTCTTAAATGGTTCCTCGCTATAGATTTATTACAGCTCATATCCTCATTTTCTTTGTGCAAAAGGACATAATGGCCATACAGTGGCCATAAGACAATAGTGGTCATAAGCAGATGCTTTAGCAGGCAGGTGCAGCCACATACTACTTCTTCTACATATTCCCCAGCCTTCTGCTATTTTCAGCTCACAGACATCTCAAGCGGGATGTGGTTTCTGCCTAAACCTTGACAAATTTATCTTTCAAGACTTGTGCGGTCTCCCCATGAGCTCATGTAAACCTGATGCATCCACATCATACTATGTTGCATTGCACGGGTTTGTTTCTGCTATATTCAACGCTCCTGGTTCTTGCACTGAGTCAGAGTGGCCAGTCTTTACCCACACTCTCCAGGCTACCCAGACATCTCTCTTACTTCCCTTTAGTTGTACTTCTTCCAAGCTGGAAGGCCTAGTCTGTGCTGTTGTTACACAAACCACTTTATTGAAGACTTCATTGCGTGTGACACAACTCCAACCTGGTTTTGTCTTTCTCCATCTCAGTCTTAGTTTTGTCACACCTTCATTGCCTCTGTTCTTCTGCCTGTCAAATAGGGACCATAAAAATTAACCTGTTATCTTGCAGAACAGCGATGACACAGTGGACTACAAGCATCATTATCCCCTTTTCCAAAAGCTTAGCCAAGGACTCAGAAAATCAACAATTCCACATATCAAGGACAAAAGAAAACAGCATCAGTATAAACAAAAATAAAACCAGGATACTATCTACATTTTTTTCATACTTGTTGAGCAACACAGGCTGACTGAAACCCTTTCCATTTCACAAACTATCCCTGTCAACCAACCTACTCTGGTGTTAAAAATCTGAAGCGATAGGACATCTCCCAGCAACCTCAGGGGATTATTTCACATGCTGACATGCAGCTCAGGTCTGAGAAGTCTGAAACGCTACAAAAGTTGGATTACCCAGTGCTTTTCATGCCACCTAATCTGTCTCTCCCCTTTCTTTCCACGATAAATCCCGTTTGTTAGGACAGAAAAAATTAAGTCGTTTCTCTCCCTTGTTTGGCCCATCGTCAGCTGAGATGTATAAACGTGGTGTCAGCTTTAAGGTGTACAACTTGTCCTGTTGTTGTAATGATTCTGAATCACATACTTAAAGTTTACTACGTGCTTGAGGGTATGCCTTCGAGAACAAGTTATGGTGAGGCAATCAAGGGTGTGGCTTTACAGGACACTCGCTACTCTGCAGTAACTGCAAGGATGAACACCCTTTGCGTGCCGGTAAATGCAATATAAATTAGCCCAGAGAGATGGCCAGCTTTGACCACTTCTGCCACCCCACAGTGCTTTTGCTGCTGTTCTATGAGCACTGCTCCTTTTAGCTGTCCCTTCCCAGCAGTAATGCTATGCCAGGAATCAAACATGAGAGTTGCACATAAAACTACCACCCCCCTCCCCCCACCAACACCTGTGGTCTTTTTATACATTATGATTTTTTAATTTAATAATTTAACTTTTTAATTTAATTTAATGCATTATTAGTTTTTGGATTTATTTTCTTAATACGCTGCTATAATCTTGCAAACTGAAGTCATATTTGCTAGGTGTTATCTCCCTTGCTGCTTTATGGCTCCAGCTCTTTTTATGCTTATGTAGGAGGATACAAACTCAGCAGAGCCTTCGTTGTTTATTATACCTGAGCCCTCTAATTTTTGAACCCCTCTGTTTCCCTCTGCTGGTTAAAATCATAAAGAGGGATGGGGACATGAGTAGGGAGGGTGGGAAACAGCTAGCAGTCCTTCAGTAATTCACACAGACAAGACATGTGGCAGGAGGGGGCAGTGGAGACAGAGCTCCCCACTGCAGAGTAGCATGCACTCATGTACACCCCAGAGATACCTCTGAGACCTGGTTTATTTTCACAGAGCATATATTCTTCGCAGGGTCCTGAGCACCACTTATCAGCTGTAAAGAAATTCCTGCACAGTTTAGAATCTGGGCAAGCATCCCAGCCCCTGTGTTGTCTCTCACTAGAGTCTCTACACAGTATCAGAGGTTCCCAGGAATGCTCCCAGAAGCTTTCAGCTCAGCCTGAGTCTCTGCCAAGCTGATCGGTTCCTCGGAGCTGCCTGGAGCGATCATCCTGAAGACTGCAGGGGGAGAGCCTGCGGGCTTCCCGAGAGTCCTGAAAGGCTCCGTTTGTACAAGAGTCATGACTGGCCTCCAAAAGCTGTTATCTGAACCGGGACGTATTTATCTCAACCTTGCACACACTTAAGGTCCCTCCAGTGAGATCACAATACATGCATGATTTCTGTCGTTGAAATAAAAGCCTTTGTATTGAAGTTACTTTTTCTGTGATTTCCTAAGATCACTGTTTATATTCTAGTAATCCCTCAGATCTCTAAATGAGGATCGATGCCCCTTTCCTGTTTTAACTAGATGCTCACAGCAGTTAGATGAGGCCAAGCTTCCTCCCCAGGCAATTGACACAGGTTGTGTGCCTACAGTGAACGATGCTCTCAAACACTCCACTGTTAGACACACATATCACATATCACACATAACTCTCTCTCAAGAAACAACTGGATTTTTAACACCAGCTGATTGTTCAGAAATAACATATGGTCAGTGGGGCAAAAAGGCAGATCTTCCCAAGGGAGAAATGACAACATTTTCTTATTTTAACATATGAAATTAAAATTTCCCGAAAGCAAAACAAAAGAAATTCCAAGAACAGCAACCTAGCCCCTTTTATTTGTTCTTTGAAGAAATGTTACTTACTCTGGTTTCTTGTTGACTGTCTTGTTTCTTCTTGTCTGGATGAGGAGCTACAAGAAATGGTATAGTGGCTTGTGGTACCAATGGGAATGGGAGGACGGTAGGACCAGATGATCTGGCAGGTCATTTCCAACCTTGTGATTCTATGATTCTTAGGATTCTCCCATCTTCCTAAATGTTAGCATTTTTAATGCTTTTTACTAGACAAGATTTTCAGTGGGTTTCTTAAGATCCTGCACACTGTTTTCTCTCAGTCTGCTATTCCTGTGGCTGTACTTTCCTTGAATGGCATATTGGATTCAGATAGTTTATGGTCAACAGTTCCCAGACTCCTTATAGCGCTCTAACCTTCAGTGGAAAGAAAGGTAAGCTGGGAGCATTTACCAGCTTGAAATCTCTGCTGTCTGGATAACAGACAAAAAAAAAATAAAATTGTTTTTTCCTTATTTCAGGACTTAAAACCCCGGCTGCATAATAAAAGTCAGGACCGCTACAGTCTACCAAAAATACATTTACCAGGGGAATGTTTTGGCTATTAGTTATTCCCCTTCAAACCCTTCCGACTGTGCGGTGTTGCTATTTTGCTTTGTTTTGATTTTTGTTCCTTTTTAAACTAACCTCAAGGAATTTCCCTCTCTCCCATCGTGGTTATCAAGCTGTAGCTTGTCGGCGGTGTAACTACTTGTGATGTATGATGCTTTCTTCTGCTCTCCTAGGCTCCTTATCTCTGGTTAGCATTGATTAATGTCCCTTCCATACTGGTATTTCTGTCTGGAGGATGAGCCCATTTGCCAGCAGTGCCCACCCACTGACAGCCTCCACCACCCAGTGGCACTGCTCCTGGGCCCTTCCTGCACTCCTGGTCGGGGACATTTGGAATGTAAATACTCCCCTTCGTCTTCAGCTTTTGTTTCGAGGATAAGACAAAACCAAATAATAATAAAACCTCCTCTATTCTGCACGCAGGGAGCGCATGCCATTAATATTAATTAATTTATTTATTTAAAGCCGGTAAAAGAATTTGCTCTTAGGCTGGGAATGCGACTGCCAAGTTTCCTGCCTGCAATTTGTTACAGCTCAGTAGTAAACTACCCCTGAAAATAGGAATTTGAAATGGAAATACTGACGGGCCTTTTAACGAGGCTATAATAAGCAGGGTGCTTTATCCTGCGCGCCGCACGTCCTGACACAACAGCAGCCTATCATAGCATGCACAGAAAACAAACAGGGCCTCTCTGCATCGCGCTCCTGCCTGAAACCGGGCCGACGCAGGAAGGGAACGGAGCTGAAGACAAAGGCCCTGAAGGTCAAGCACACCACGCCCCAGCCTCACTGCTGCTGCTCAGCCCAGCGCCGCCATACACACAACTTGCACTTGAATAACTTCCCTTTGATCAGCTCGCCATGAAAAAGAGGTGTAGCCTGCCACGCTGCTAGCGGGGTAAAGAGGCAGACTTTCCCATAAGGCTTAAGCTGCAAATTTGTCAATCCAGGCTTGCTCTGCTACATAGAACAAAGCTCCCAGAAGTGTCTGCTTGTTGCAAATGTTTCTCATCTGCTTAGAAGCATTCATTCCTTGTAATGCTCCATATGTACAACATGTGGATGCTGAAGCTGGTTTGCATACCGGCTCTCAACCGTCTGCTGAAAATACTGTTTATTCAGTGAGGCTGAACACTCACAGTCCCAGCAGCAGTCAGCTGAGCATCCCCACACTGACACCTGTCAGTGGCAGCACCACTGCCTCGCTGGAAATAAAACTTCTCCATCATTTTTCACAAGCTATTTGGCAGTCACAAAAATAACTGAATCACACGTATGAAACTCATTCTCTGGGACCTGATCTGCACACTTGTAGTCTGTAGGACACACGCTTAAATGCCGTGTATTGAACTGCCACATCATGTCTATTTTTACTAATCGAGTTTACTTGCGTTTGGGCACAGTATCAGCTACTCAGCAAGTCCAGGAGATTAATGTAAAAGCCTCTCTCCATTTAGAAAGTATAGGCACTCCAGATTTACAGCTGCTTATTTTGAGGTGGCTGACTGCTGATCCTGATGTCTTTGAGTAACAGATGGCTTTCCGAGCTGCGCTGATAATGAAAATGATATAATTTGTCACTTAGCATTAAAACAAAGCAGAGAGGTAGCACAGAAGGAAAAGCAATGCATTCGCCTTCTTCAAATGGCATACCTGAGAACAAGGGGAAAAAAAGGCTGGGCAAACCCAAAGGCTATCAATAGTCCTGGATATTCACGTGTGGAATAACTTGCATAAAATAACCTGGCCTGATCTGGACTGTGAGAGCATTGGCCCCTGTAATGTTAGAATTTATAGCTTTAATCTTCTTAAGAGGTGCGTGGCTCTTCACGCATGCAGAGAATACAGATTTGATGTTTCTGAGATTAAAACTACTGAGCTGAACTTTTCTTGTTACTGGCCAAAAGCATTTGGAAACTTAATAAAGCATTCCATTAAAATCTTGGCATTTTAGTGATACAAAAGCAATAGGCTGCTAGCTCAAAACGTGAGTCCAAGTCAAAAGGACCCTTCTAGGGAGAGATTGAGGAATGTAGGTTTTAACAAAGTTTGCAATGACTTAAAAATAGATCAAAGGAAATGCGAAGTAGAATGGAACAATAAACGCTTGATGTAACCAGCAATGCACAAGCCTTTGTTGTTTAAACTTTATGACATTTAAAGATGTTTCTTCATGTTCTTCTAAACCTTCTACGTCTGCGAGCCCATGAATAGCTGGAAAAAGTACAGCGCACATCACCGACGAGCTGTGTG